TGAATGCGATTACTTGAGGTCATTGGCACCGAGTTGCGGCACCGATTGGTCCTTGAACTTGACGTTGGCTGTGGTCCCCATCCGTGCGCTCTTCTTGACTGAACAGCAACGAAAATGCTTAGCTTTGATTCAGTCCAATCAAACTGATATTTATTACGAGGTACGATAGTTTAGGTTTTTCAGATTCTTCGATACTCAGTTGTTCCTAAAACTTTCCCAGCTTGAGTTGCTTAAGAGAAATGTGGCCAATCTCCCGAATGAGGAGGACATGAAGCTGATGAGCCATGTATGCGGTGCTTTTTATACGAATGCCTTCGAAACGGTAACAGTTCATGATAAGGATCGTTCCTCAAGTTTGCGAGGCCTCTATCCTATAGCAGCATTACAAAATCATTGCTGTGTACCGAATACCAGCCATCACTTCGACGCGGAATGCAGGCTCTATGTCAACACGACTCGTCCGATCTCTGCCGGCGAGGAATTGACTATGACATATACTAGTCTATTTTGGGACACCACGTTGCGAAGGCAATTTTTAAGCGTCACCAAACAGTTCTCCTGCATGTGCGGGAGGTGTAGCGATTCTACTGTAAGTCTGGAGTAATTAAGTATAAGAAAATTATGGAAGATGAAGTAAAGGACGAGTTTTATGTTCTTGAATCGTTTAGGAGTTTGGAACTAAATTAGGTGCTCTCTTGTGCGCATCCGATAAATGTTCTGGACAGTTATTGCCTCGCGATCCGCTTAATATTAAAAGTCCTTGGGTCTGTGATAAGTGTACCTTAACTATAAATCATCGGCAGGTATATTTGCAAAAAATTAAAATTTATTAATTAAAAAGAAAAATTGTTTACCATCAATAACTTCTTCTCAGTCGCAACACTACTTACAATTAGTTGTTTTCGTTTGTTTACTAGGTACATTCGATTTGTTCAGGTATAGCAGCCGTAACGGAAGAGCTTTTATATAAAACTCCACGACAAATTTTTAAGTTCATGCAAAGGGAATTAATGCATTTGGTTCCTCGGACTAATTATCTTCTCGCAGACGTAAAGTTTCGAATCATTTCCTATTTCGGCAGGAACGATGGAGTCACGTGGCAAGGTATAATAATGCATTTCAACAGATGCTTATTTATGTAAATGTNGTACTATACTTTGTAGTCTCGGGCTTTTTAATTTCCGTATTTTGGATGCTACGTATTCCCCAAATACGGAATACTCATTCTTTTGTCTATTTAGGACGCTTTGCATAGCGTTGAATGCCACCATTAGCCGTGGATCATCTTCCGTTTTTTTTTTTGCGCTTATTTGTCGATAAATTTTGTGACGAAAGTACATTTTGTAA